TTTATATTTTTATATAATAAATATCCAAAAGACAATCTTGCTTCCAAGACAATCCTTATTTTATATTGTATTCTCAATTATTTATATATGTTAAATAGAGGATCTCTTACACTATATAAAATCCCTGTGGATTGCAGACAGGGGGATATGTTCTCTTTGTAGCTGCTTAGTATGCATGCGCAGGAAAAAGATTAATGCAAAATGTTGTCAAAAGAAAAGTCATAAGACAGAGCGATGAAATAGGAAGTCTAATTCCAAGAATGCAAAGAAAATTGCATTATGGCTTAATGAAAACATTCATGCAACAGACAGACAGGATTTTTAATTATTGCATTACTGCGTTCTGGATTCTAATGTCCACTATATAAGAAAGGTTTTATAAAACAGTGATAATTTCCATATTGTCAGTTACGCTCGCTGTTGATTAAAAATCAGGAATTATAACAGCATAACTATTTTTTCAGTCTGGAATTTCCAGCCAAGGTTGCGGAGATGCAGAGACATGTAAACATTCCAAGGAATTGAGAAGTCGTTGTTTTATATTCCAAATTATTAACAACATTATTACATACAGCCATAAACAGAAAGACATGGCTTTTAAATAAATTCAGTGCAGTACAATGCAGTACACTGCAGCATGTATTTTATATAATATATGCTAACTAGCTCATATTTTTTCCTAAACAGAGTTGAAATTATACTACCCTCCTAGAAAAAAGGGCAACAGGTTGTTATACATCCTTTGCTTCTTTAAATGCTCTGCAAAATTAAATATTTATAAAATAATTAAAAATAATATATATGTAAGATAAATCAGGGCTAAATAAAATTGTAACTATATAGGATCTCTGATAACTTTTAAACAGAAATTATTAAAGGCTTATTTAAATAAAATGTTAAATACATTTACAGCTTTAAATGTGACCAAAAGATACTAAATGATGTGTTAAGCAGCCAGCCCAATTCACTAGAATAGCATAAGTATTCTACTATTTAAAGTGCACAATTCCTGCACACAATGACTTTGCTTACTCAGGTACAGTCTTTAGTCTATTGCAATGGCAGTAAAGTCCACCAATTTTAAAAGGGAAAGCTTACTTAAATCAGTGGTACTATACCACCGTACTAGCAGTAAAGAAATTAGAACAATAATATTGTACTACTGACTGTAATCAGATCAGACACATGTAATCTCAGTGAATTTCATAAACAAGGTTTTTATAAAATACGATTAAATAAATAAATGTATAGAGACTAAGCATTAAGAGCATTTACATGCATTCAGCAGCCTGCTCTCTCAAAGACAGAAACAGATTTATAAAAAAATTAAAAAGTAGGTTTTAAAAAGTCAACAGTCAACCACACATGATGAGTGAAATGATTGCTTCCTTAAAAGCTATATGCTGCTGCAATTATGTATATAAATACAGATTAGGGCACAGAGTAGAAATCAAAAATACAGTTTCAAATCTCATATATGAGGATTCAGTTCCACCACATATTCTACAATTCTGAAAGAGGCTAATTTTAATAATATGTTGTAATAGCATTGTGAATATATATGATGCAAAATTAATTTGATATTGCAAAGCCTGCAATATTCTAAACAGACATTAAAATTTAAGAAAAAAAGAAAAATAATGCATAAAAAAAATGCAGTGTCAATTAAAGTGATAATACTCTGATATATTAAATCACATTGCATATCACATATCTGCAATATGAAAAGTATAATTAAAGTGACATTACTGTGCAAAGCCCCCTCACATCTATTTTATAGAATCTATACTTTTCAGTGGTCACCTCCAAAGAAGCCTCTGAAATTGGGGGGCTCAGAGGGGTGCTCATCCCAAAAGGAATCAGATTCCAGACTTAAATTTTTTTTAAACAAATAAGTAAATGATAGAAAAGGAATCACGGGAACACCCAGAACATGCATTTTTGTATATAATCTTAATTTGCAGATATTTTATGGCTTAAAGACATATAAAGGATATTTAATTAAATATGCAGGTATCTTTAAAAATTAAGCAAAGTTAAAAAATAAATAAATAAAATAAATAATAATAATAAAAAATTTATTTTACACCACAATATAAACAGCTTTGTTAAACAGATTTAAGTACAAGTACTTATGTCAAGAAATATACAGAATACATTTACAACAGGCAGGTTTAGCATAAATGCAAAGTTGTTGTTTTGGGGGATTTATCATTGCCCAAGAAATCTCCGAACATATTCAGAATTTTTGAGAGCAGCAAGTAAGACAGCAGATTGCAATGGACACCATTACAATATTGCTTTGCCGATTGATGTCAGAGCTTTAAAGAATAAATAAATAAATGTTCTATAGCTCACTAGACCACTGGCTTTTAATGAACAGTTTGCACAACACTTATAAATAGTTTATTATACTGCACATTATAGCTGTGACAACATGATATACAGTGTAAAAATGCTATTTCACTGTTTAATAGACTTACCCAGTATTTAAGGACGACATGTTTCTTGCAAAGTCATCGGGACTTTGAGGGAGGTTCTAACTACGTTTAATTAATTAATTTACTAAAGAAAAAGAAAAAAGAAGGTTTTGTTTTTCCCCTGCAAGTGAAATTTCAGCGCAAGGTCATCTTGTGTTCACAGACTATTCAGTTTTAAAAAGCTGTTCTTTATCTCAGATTATGAACGGCCTTGTAATTCCTATGCACACTAAAAGTTGGCTTTTAAATGTTATTGTTTTAACTTTAATATTTCATAGTTAATACAGAGGATAAAGTATATTGAAAGTATATTAATTGATAGGATTTCATTTATCTATTTTGGTCCACTGTTCACTGATCTCAAATCTCAGTCTGGTATTCAAACAGTTTTTCTTACAATACGTCGTTAGTTTATATCCACAACTGCATTTTGCTTTGTGGAAACAAATTGAAAGCCTGGCATTGTAATACGTGTATGGACATGCTTATAACAAAGCATGGGCCCTCTCCTCATGTAGTTGGTCTGTAACAGGCACTTTGATTCAATGTGTCTACCAACGCTTTTCTGTGGTCACTGGATCACATCGCAAACCCTATCTCTCTGTCATGATGCAGAGTTTATGCTTGCAAGGATATCCAGACCTTATCCACCTGGTATCCGCATAAATACTCCTATCGTTTACAGGGGTTAATTACATAATAACCATTGAAGGTAATATGTTGGTTGTTCTTCCTATAGAGGAAAGATAGACTTGCCCTAAAAGCTTTTTCATGGCTAGGACAAGCTCTTATAGAGAGAGGTAATGTACTTGTGACTCCTGAAAAGGAATATTGGTGGTCACAATATGGGAAATACTGTAATTCATGTGTTTAGTAATCATAAGCATTTGCTTATTGCCACATTACTGATGTACTGTTTATTGAAATATTAATATCTAACATACTTTTTGAATTACTATATATTGGAAGTTTGCCAGCATCTCATGGTTATAAATATGTTTTTGTATGTGTTGATGCATGTACCAGGTTTACTTGGATATATCCTGTGCGAAGTGCAACCTCTGATGCCACGTTTTCTAGTCTCACTTCCTTAGTATGCATTTGATAATCCCAGGACCATCCATTTGGATGGTGGTCCTGCAGTTACTGCAAAGGAAACCTAAAACTGGGCAACCACATTTGGGTTACTTTGGGATTTCAGTGCCCCAACCACCCCCAAAGAAGTGGGGTTGTGGTCTGGGAGAATGCTGAGGTTAAATGATTATTAACCAAGTTACTAGTTGCTTGCCCCACACAGTGGTATCTATTTATTCCTATGGTACAGATGAGCATTCACAACATACCTGATGATACAAATGGTGAGACACCATATGAAGTGTTACATGTTTTTCACTGACAAACATATTTCTGCACCAGGGAGAGCTTAGAACCATCGGTTCTATTAGAGAAATTTAGGGAATTTTTTTTTCCAGCCCAACTCGCCATGCACCACCAACTTTTTCCTACTGTTGGCCAGTTTGTCCTGGAGAGGGTGACTCAGAGAACTTATACTACAGAGAACAATCAGAGCCAACAGAGAACAGTGAATTTGATATTTTACAACCTGCTAAATACTAACAGGACGTTCACAGAACCACTGACTGATACAATGGATGCTGTTAAAGATGACAAGATAAAACAAACAGAAAAGCCACCAGAATCATAGCGACGTAACAGACTGAATCGTGATCTGACATCTGAACCTGCAAATGTGAAGGAGAAGGATGAACAGACAGACGTGATACATTCACAGTTAACATGGAATGTATGAAAAATGAATCATCAACATCATTATAAGAAAGACTTGGAGAAAACAGACTGAGCCTGAATTATCTTATACAGTAAGAAAGAAATGCAAAGATGGAAGCAAAAGGATGCTAGAAAATTGGTGTCTCCTTCTTACAGTCTGCAGCATTATCATAACATCAACCCTAGCTGTCATTTTAAAACTGCATTGGGATTATGTTAACAAGCAGGAAGCACCTGAACTGAATTGGACTGCACACTATACAAGTTCTGTGATCGTGAGGACTACCTCCAAGAACTATCTCAAAAGGAGAGACACAGCTCACAGTGAAATGATTGCTTATGTGACCTACACTGGTATTTCACAAGGAACCTATTGAGATCATTCCAAAAAAACGATTATACATGAAAAAGATGTGATTGGACTATTACAAATCCTAATAATGGACTCAACGATGATGACAAAGCATGCTGAAATCAGAAAAAGACGGGACAGATACTTGTGAAAGACTTTGGATGCACCTATGAAGGTGATGAAAGAAAAGACTTTGCCATATAGTTTATCATTGAATGACTACCGCAAACAGCCTTCTTATGCTGAAAAGAAGTGCTATGCTAATTCTGGACATTGCTATTATGTTTCCAGACAGAAGATGACCGGAAAAAGAAATAAAGGCTGATAACTGTCAACACCCAGCTGTTTTTCAAGATGGAACATGGTACTGAGAAAACCTGATAGACTATCAAAGCACCTCACAGTACAAGACACAGATTGTTGCCTACAACTCAGAAAAAGTGGTTAATAGGAAGGATCAGAAGAAGAGGAAAATAGATTTCCTACTGGAGTGAAAAAAACATCCTGGAACAATATTCTGCAACATTGAACTTTACAATGACATTTGGTGGCATATGAATTTGAATTTGGTAGAAACACATCAATTAACAAAAGAAACCTTGATGCAATTAATAAATAACAACAAGACCGGCTTACTAAGAGCAGATGCCCTGCCAAGAGAATGGAATATAAAAAGACCATTAAAACCTTTCAGAAACCTGACATCATGGGACACTTGCACTAAAGCACGATTTGCAGCTTTACTTAAACTCTACATATTATGTACATACCTGCAAAGCAAGGAACTCCTGTAAACATAAACACAGAGACATTGATACAACAAGGAATCTGTAATGGTTCTGTTGCAGATGTGATCTACCGATGTACTCCTTTCTCTTTTGGTATAACTATACCAATCAAAATGCTAAATGGCTCCATGGAATCAAACGACAAAGCATTCTTGCTATATTCTGGACTTCCAGGAATGTGGTGCATGGACCGAAAATTATAATTACCAAAGCAATCATGCTATTTTTTTTTCCCTGTATCAGAAATGTGTCAGTGACGATGTGTAATATAATAGAGATACTATAATTAATGGTATAAAATAAACACATAATGTGTTAATTACAAAGGTGGATAGACTTTGACTATCTGAACGCAATTGAAGATTATTGCTAAAATGCCATATGCAGCTGCAGTCTGGCCTACAAACAAATATATTAAACATACGTATAAGAGCATAACAGCTAATTACCAAGATGAATAATTGAATCATGATAGTTAAAGATCATATGATTGCAATAATAACTGCAATAATGAATAAGGTTTAACCTTAAAAGAAAATGTGAAATGTTTTTATTAAATCAGAAACTATTCTATATTCGTTTAAGTTTGCAGAGTGGTATAATTAATATAAGTGAAATACTTCAACAGTTAAAAACAGTTAAGACAGGCAGAAACTTTACTTCAACTATCATAAAGTTTATTTATAATGATAAAAATATTCAGTCTGCCAGAGCCAAGGCCAGTCAATGGAAAGTAAAAGAGTATTAGGGATTAACCCATCCAGGTGATATACATGATGAATTTGGAAATTGATCATTTAGGTCACCTATTGCAAACTGGTGAAAAGATGTCAAAGATATAAATTCAACATCCATACCACTCTATGTATATATATATATTAAAATACACGTAATCAAATATTTTATCAGTTTTTCAAATACAAAGAAAATGTTATTTGGTTTGTAATGGTTAAAGGTACATAAAACCACCTATACAAAGGTAGAGTTAAAATATAAATACATTCAATATTGTATCGGAGTGCTTTCTTAACTTACTTTTAGAAATAATAATACATTCTAATCATCTTAAGCTGCATCCAACAGCCACTGAAAAATATACTCAAACAATTAAGATTCACATTGTTAAGCATCCAATCTCACGAATGTAACTTTCCACAATGGCTGTCAGATCTTGGTTTTAAAAAAAAAAAAAAAAATGTTTTCTAAGACAATATTTGGGGGTTTCTGGTATTTTAAGCCACTAATAACTGTAGTTATTATATTTACTAATAATAACTAGGGAATAAGTTGTCTTCTCCCTAACAGGTCAAAGAAAGATAATTAACGTCATATTTCCAATTAGCAACTATTCTAAATATATTGGGAGATTTTGAATAAAGGAGTATTTTTTTACATTTAAAGAGAATGTAATTTTACATACCATTGTGAACAAAGGTGGTAAATACTTTGCTGCTTCAAATTATTCTTTATATCTAAATCATATACAAGAGTGTTTATCTTAAATACAAAACACTAGAAATATTAACTATGTTACTATTTCATCTATCATTATTATACAAACTATAACAAATGTAAAGATTTTTCCACAGATTTTACCTGTTAACATTTTTAGCACAACAGCACCTGATGTCAGTGAGATGTCTATCACTGAGATGTTACAAAGATTCCAATACAGCAAAAAGAGGCGTTCTTGAGAATCCACTTCAATTGCTGTATCAACATAAAATTTACTATAACGGGATCCATGTCACTTAAGACAATGTCTTGGAAATTATGTCAATTAATTGATTCCGTAAAAGAATATCGGAGAGTATCCAATCTATACACATCATAAACGGTGTAAAAATGTTTCATGAAAAAGAAAAAAGACAAAGACAAATACCAACGCCATCACCACGGTAATAACAGATGATGCTGATTCAATATCTGCAACCAATTCTATCCCAATATTTGGAAAGCTGGACTCTACAACCTATACTCTACAACAAATACCCGGGTATTCTACAAACACAACCTCCAGCAATGTATCTAAGGAATGTAAACTTCTACAGGCCTTTAAAGACTTTGGATTACAAATACAATTACTATTTTAACTTTGGATTATAATTCGTATCCGGATCCATCCAAGAATATCTTACTCTGGAACTTGGTGTTCTTTACAATTCTTTCCCAGACAAAAGCTTTGCTCATTTTAATCAACCACCTTTACAGGCAAAGATCACACTACGGATATTTTACAGTTACAACATTGATCTAAGATGCTGGGAGCATAAAAAACCTAAAGACAGTTGGAGAACTTTGGTTTACTAATTTAAGGAAGAAATGCGCTACAATGCCCACAGTTTAATGGAGAGGGTGTTATGGGCAAATGCAAATATTACAAGTTTTAGAATGAAATGTTGTATTTCTTAAACTGTGTACTTTGTCTTTAAGAGATATTGCAAACTGACAAGGTGTTAGAAATGGAACATATTGTTTTTCATAACTGTTTCTTTAAGCAATAACCTCAGTGCATAATATGTTTGCGCCATTTTGTCCCAGACGAATTACAATAACAATAATGCATAAACAAGTTTCAAGGCTATGCTACGACTCTTGCAGTACACAATATACTGTGGTAACCCCAAGTTAATGGAACTTCCCCAAATCTGGGAATCTCCCACTACTGTACACTTACGACTTAGTATAAACAACAGATAACCTATTCAGACTTTAAGATGCCATCTTGAACTAAGTCAGGAAAATTTCCATGACGTATACACCCTTTAGTTATGGCCTTGTATGTTTGCCAAATTAAGGGAGGTCCTAAATTGAATAAAGTAAAAGAAGTGTTACTTTTTCATATTTGAACTACAGTAACCTAAAATGGAGACACCTAAGGTATAAATAGGTGTACTTTTAAATGTTAAGACACAGAGGAGAGACTTGGAGACAGACGCTGCTCCATCTTAAAATGACAGAGAGGCTGACATGATGACATGTTCAGAAGGGTATGTTAACCTATTAATGATATTTGCAAGCATGTAATTTAATCTTATAAACTCTGCTATAATGGATTTTATATTTTTATATAATAAATATCCAAAAGACAATCTTGCTTCCAAGACAATCCTTATTTTATATTGTATTCTCAATTATTTATATATGTTAAATAGAGGATCTCTTACACTATATAAAATTATGGCTAAGATATCTGTATGGTTAGCCCTACTAAGTTCTATGCTTTAAGACATTATAGTGGTAAATAAGTGAACCACCAGGGGTTACACTGGTAAAAGTGGTGCGTGAAGAACCGTGGAAGGAGAGACAGTGAGCTGGGCTATGGGAGCAAGGGACCAGAAGAGAGCAATTGTAATGCTAAAAGCATCAACCAGGAAGGTAATAGGCTATCCTAAAGAATGATTTCTCAAAGGACTGGAGGCTAGGGGAGAGTCTGATGGCACGGCGACGGAGTAGGGAATTCCTAAAGAAAATTGGTCAGTCCTTGAAAAATCTGGAAAAATTCTCCAACTCAGTTATGGTCACAATTGGCTATTTCTGCCTCAGTTTAGTCATTCAGATTTTATTTGTGAAAATTCTAAGTTTAATGTCTCACCCCTTGTCCTCCCCAATAGAGTGTGTGTGGTGGCTAAGTGTAATAAGTTAGTCTAGAGTTCGGCTGGGTATAATGTGTGTGCTGGTTGTATGTAATGTGTGTTTGTTTTCTGTACTGTCTGTATGTAATGTGTGTCTGTGACGAGTGCTGGCTGCATGTAATGTGTGTGGCTGTTTGGTGTGTGCTGGCTGTTTGTAATGTGACTGTGTGACCTGGCTGTATGTATTGTGTGTGTTTAGTGGTGTGCACTGGTTATATATAGTGTGTGTCAGTGGTGTATGCTGTCTGCATGTAATGTGTGGAAAGTATGCTGGCTGTATGTAATTTGTATGTGAGGTGTGCTGGTTGTAATCTGTGTGTCTATGGTGTTTGCTGGCTGTATGTAGTGTGTGTCTGGAGTGTCGGCTGGCTATCGGTAGTGTGTGTCTGTGATGGATGCTAGCTGTATGTAATTTCTGCATCTGTGTTGTGTGCTAGCTGTATGTAATGTGTGTGTGGTGTGCTGGCTGTATGAAATGTATGTGTGGTGTGCTGGCTGTATGTAATGTGTGTGTGTGGTGTTGGCTGGCAATATGTTGTGTGTGTCTGGGGGGTGTGTCTGAGTGTACGTGTGTATGTGTGTGCCTGTATATGTCTGTGTGTGTGTGTGTGTGTGCGTATCTTTGTGTGTCTGTATGTATGGGTCTGCATGTGTGGGGGGGGCGGGGTTGTGTGGTGGGCGGGAACATATGGGGTGGGAGGTAGGTGTATGGGGGGCCCCATGGCAATTTTTGCACCAGGGCCCCATGGTTTTTAGTTACGCCTCTGGTGGGAAGAGTTGACACCAGAGAAGGTGACACTAAATGAGCAATCATAAAGAATAAACACAAGTAAAGAGTGAAGTGTCATAGAGTCCAAGGTTGTGGAGCGTTTGAAGAAGGAGAGCAGTTAACAGTATGAAATGCAGCAGAGAGGTTGAGGAGAGTTTAAAGAGTAATGAGAGCAGAGCTTAAGTCAGTCATTTTGGTGAGGGTAGTTTAGTAGAATGGAGGGAGCAGCAGCACGATTGAAGAAGATCAAGGATGGAGTTGAGAAACTAAGTTAGATGAGTAAACATAAGCAGCTCAAGAAGCTTAGAAGTGAAATGGAGTAGCGATATCGGACGTTAGTTAGAAAGAGAAATCTGTCAAGAGAGATTTTTTTGGGATTGACGATTGCATGTCTGAGGGAAGAAAGAAGGATGCTAGTAGAAAGAGAGAAG